GGCGAGTCTGGCCAAGCAGATAAAGGGTGTGGTGCAGCTGGTCGGACATCAGGCCGCCATGCTCGGGGCAGGCGAGCAGACTGACCCGGGTTAAAGTGGAGCTGCAGGGCATGAGGAGGCGTCTGGCTGAGGAGGTGCGGGGCTGCCGGAGCACAGCCATGGGCGTCAGGAAAGAGGTGACTGAGGTCGGAGGGCGCATTACTAGTGTAGAGGACCAGTGTAAGGGCCTGAGTTACCTGGCGGAGGACCTGGAGAGGATCAGGGAGGAGCTGGAGAAACAGTCGAGCGGTCTTCTGGTGCAAGTCAACGGGACGCTGTCCAGCCACGCGCAGCAGCTGTCGGAGCTCAGAGGAGAAGTGAGAAACTGCACGGCCCAGCTGGATCCAACACAACACAGTTCAGAGCCGGAGCGAGGCGAGGAGACACCTTCGCTTTGAATTAGCTCAGTTCACACGGACAATACATTTTTTAACTGAATGAAAAAGGGGAAAATACTCTGCAGGTGTAGTGGGGGTCCACTAAAACTCCATCTTATCATTTGAATTGTAAAATACAAAGGTTTTGAACCTGCACTGAAATGAGGATGGTTTTACTCGGCTTACAGTATAAAATAAAGAATGGCAGCTGCACCAATAACACAACATCTTCAAATTGGTGCTAGAATGAACTTTAAATGTTACTGTACTGTTTCTGTAAAGCTTTCCAAAACATTTTGTATGAACGGTTGTTTACATGTTTAGGTTTTTGTATTGATTTTTCTTATGTGTAGACGAGTTGTGTATTATGTTTTTATATTGTTTAAGTTCTTGAGTATACTTTTCTATTCTGATTGTAATACTGCATAAAATGTTGGCGTTTCAATACTGACAATCAAATAAACAAGTTTCTTTAATACTTGTGTTTTCGTGGTACACAGCATGTCCAGAAGAAGTGTTGAATACATACAAAAAAATGTATTGAGGTCTTGTGGTCCAACCCGACTTGAAAACTATACAGTACATGTTTAACTTCAGAAATTACGTTTTATAATTAATGGCACAAAAAGAGAAAAGAAAGAAAATCAATACTAAAAGCACATTCCCTAAGAGGTCGTCACTGCGAAAACAACACAAATGGAAGGAAACAAACACGTCACCATACTCGTCTCCCCTTGCAACGCATGGTACAAGCTGTCAGAGCAAACCATCAACATAGTGCAGGCTCAACTTTAGTTTTGAACCCTTAGATGCCTGACTGGACCCTAAGTGGGTCTAAAAGGACCCGTATTAGAATAATACGTGTTTTATGCCATTTTGTCATTTTGGTTAAGAAAAATCACCTGTATAATATTTAGTATTATATTCGGTTCACATTAGAAATATTTTATATTTAAATGTTCATAATTTTAGAAAAATGTTTTACATTTTGAAAAAAAGCGTTTTGAACATACAGTATCGATGCAAAGATCTCCGCTCTTCTGAGACCCTCACAGTATTCCAGTCCCTTTTCAAAACTCATCTCTTCTCCTCTTGTCTACTCCATAGCCCCCCCCATCAATCCATGCCGGTTGATCAGGTTGATAGTCCTATACCCCCCACCCTAACCTTCCCTTATATTGTAAAGTGGTTTTGAGTCCTTGAAAAGCCCTATACAAATATAATGTACTATTATTATTATTATACTGACAGGTATCAGATCTTGCTGTGTACAATAATCTTCCTGAGAGGTGTCCCTTGTGATGTCTCTGTGTGGTCCACAGTGAATGTAGTCCTGACAGCAACAGGTGATAAGAATCAAAGGTTCCCAGAGGATCCCATAGGAAATGCATGCGGGTCATTTATGACCCACTTGTGGAAGCTTGGGGTAGAAATACAAAAACTACAATTTCTTCAAATGTACAGTTAAAATGTGAATGGCATGATATCCAAAACATGTTTTTTGAGGAATAGCTGGAATATGAAATGATAAAAAAATGTAATTACAAAGATACTTCAAGAAAACCCACTTATGCATCTAAGGGTTAAAAGAAGTTGCCCTATAGAAAAATACATTCTTACTTGTTTACTTCAAACACTGCATGATATACAGTAATGCTTGATCTTATGCTGACTTCCAACCATTTCAATAGGGCAGTTTAGATGGAGCCCCTTTGTGAGTGATATTAAACAAATGGTTGAGCTTTGTAGTTGATGCAGAGGAGTGGGAAAACCACAAGATGGCAACAGAGAAGCATTCAAACTATTAGACTGCTTGACATAACCTTACATTAAAGTGAGTCTTCCAATCAAGTGTATGGGAACAGCCCTCGCATGCCAGAGAAACAATTCAATTAGTCATAATTGCCAAGGTGAGAAAGACAAGAGTAGCAGACTACATGTAATCTTCCCTCTATACATCTAGCAGCATGGCCTACTGGGTAAACTTCTCATTGGGCCTAACAATAGGGTGATAAGTGACTTTGCTTATAACCCTCACCTGTCATTTCCCGCTCCCCCGACGGACAAAAACCTATTAAAATGACAGCTATGTGGGAGATGAGCTTACTGCTGCGTGAAAACGCTTTAACCCCAGACATGTGGGGAATAATAACCACCAAATGCCACAGAGGAAAAAGCAGGCAGACCTATAATGATGCAGGTTCATGTACACACACAAAGTGAGGGGAAGAGAAATGTGCCACTGCTTCCACAGGCAACCTTTTAAGGGTGTGAGTCTTTCCATTTTTCCCAATGGGATTCCTGAATCTATTATCAATTGAAGATCTATTCTGTGTAAACACATAAAGACAAAGCAAAGGCAACCTTTATTCATGCTAAACTAACACAAATACATGCTTTTACCTAACAAGTATGTGACTTCAAAAATATCAAGTTCAAGTTATACAGAAAATAAAAATGCTTTCTGTTACATAATAAATACAATCTGTTGGCTTAAAGGTGGGGTAGGTCATTCACTTCAGAAACACTTGTTATACTCCATGGAATGCTCTTAACGTCCCGATAGCAATGAACACATTAAATGCTTTGACAATAAATACATAACAAAAGGTCATCAGTGGAAGCCGTGGCGCTGTGAAAAGCTCGACCAATCATCTGAGCCGGCTAAAGTAACTGGATGGCCTACCTGCCTGTCAGCCTTCCATCTGGGCACAAACTTATCTCGTGCCCTCATTGGTCATGTGCGCGTTCCTGTGTGTTGGAGGAGGGGCTCTGTAAGGAAGTGGCAGATTTCTTTCGGCTGTGTATTTTCAAATTCTAGCCACTCGAGCTGCTTTCTCCATTCTTACCTACCCCACCTTTAAGCTAGATTTCTTTAAAATGTTTAACAAACTGGCCAATTAAAAAAACACGTTGTACACAAAACAACACGTAGGATTGGTATTTTAATACAAATCTCACAACAGTGCTTTGCATGACTTTGACTGGTCGATAAGGGTTACTGTCCATCAGTTGGAATACCTATGTTTTATGAAAAAACGTAGAATAAAAATTGATTTACAAAAAGTTGTGAAGCGATTCAGAATCCCCTTTGTTACATGACTTTCCCCCCTCCCTTTACTTAACCTGCAAACATCTTATTTTCCATTGCAGCATGAAGATGAACCTAAAGGCCACAGAGATAAGTAACGGAATATGTGATTGTGTTTTCTTCTTTCCCTTCTGTATTCCTCTCCTTCCCCCTGCACGCTCACACCTCAGTCGAGCCCAGACAGCAACACATTCATCTTCGTTGTTTCCAAGAAGACACTTGAACAGAAAGGGCAGTCAGGGAAGTGTGTGTGTGGGGGGGGTCTCTTTCCTGCTCGATCATGGATCTGAGTGTAATTTGTGCTGCCTGCAGCTCACACACTGTCACCGGACAAGGCTTCCACCCGCAGATGACAGAGGGCGGAGCTGGCAGAGAGACAGAGGACGGAGGATGGGGGGTAAACAGTGTGAATCATCCTATATAACGTCCTCTGTGGAAGGTGAAAATTAGTCCTCATTACAGTGATGTCCGGACAGCAGACAGGGTGCGTTACAGCCAGGAAGCCAGGAGAGAGGGGACTTTCAAGTAAAGACTCTAAGCAATGACTTCCAGGATTTGAAATGTCTCAAGAAGCAGAAGCTGTTGTCCTCCAAACTGAACAAGGTGTAAACATTTACACACACATCATGAAATCTACCATCGTTATATGTTTTAAAAATTATGAATTATGAATACATGTAACAGATGTGGGTGATACTGTAAAAGTGACATTCATTCTCATCTTATCTTGAAACCAATAAGCCTCTGCTTTAGGTTAAAAGCTTAATGGATTAAAACATATCGGTATAGTTAATATGGATACCAGTGGTGAGGGTGCATGGTGCTAGAGCTGGATGCTATTTATTGCAATCATTTAAATACATTTATGCTGCAAATATATCTTGAAGGTTGATGGGAAGTGATGGGGGGGCCACTGGGATTTGCTTTTAGTTTTGTGATGCATTGTTGCCGGGTTGTTTTTGTTCAAATCAGAAGAAAACATATTATATTTATTCTTAATCACAAATGTGTCTATACAAAAAAAAAACGTTGTGTCTTTGCTGTGTGATGAACATAGATGGATTATTAAAGGAGCTCAAATATCAGACAAAGAAGGATAGCAGAGGAAGTGAAATCTTCCACTAAATCTTATGAGCACACATACGTACGGTACAGTAACAATGGTCTCTGGACTAATAGTTTAACATGGTACGTTCATGTTGAGTGTGTAAAAACAATGTTTTAGTCCACCAGCCTGACGTTTAGCTTTTGTGTCTCGTCAAATGTGTTAGTTATGTTTTTGTATTATGTCTGTCTTTTCATGTTTATTTCACGTCATGTCTGTCTATTTATGTCATTCATCTCTAATCAAGTCCCCGTGGTTCATGTCATGTCTCGTTTTCCATTTCCTGTTTTATTTTGTTCTTACCTCTTGTCTCATTTCAGGCCCTGTTACTTCCTCCCTTTGTGTGTTTTCCCGCCATTGTCAGCGTCTGCCCCCCCCCTGATTGTTTCCCACTCACCTCATGTTTAAATAGTCCTGTCTCCCCCTGTCCTGTGTCAGTTCGTCTTGTTTGTTTCCACGAATGGTCGTGCCAGGCCTCAGATTAGAGAGGATCGATTTCAGTCAAGTCAGGTTGTGTTATTTTGCTATTTTTGTAGACTTAAGTTTATCTTAAAGGGGACCTATCATGCAAAATGCACTTTGTGATGTCTTTTATACAAACATATGTGTCCCCGGTGTGACGGGGAACTCACGCAGGTCAGAAAATAAAACCCTCTCTCTTTTCCTCCGTACCCAAATCTCTTTTAAAAAACGGGTTGTGTACCACGAGCGGATACAGATTCCATCCGAACTGACGTCAAATCGGCGGCGGACCCACAGAGAGTTGCTATCACAAACAATGCCTGACGTGTTTTTGGACGTAATCTCGTCTTGTTTACATTAGCAAGCCTCGCTAACACTCAGAGCTAACCTGTACTGGAGAGCAAATGTGTGTTTAAAAAGCAGCAAATAAAAAAGGGAACTCACCTTGTGGTAAACCCGCAAGAGAAAAAGCATTTGAGCTCCATACTGTTTCAGAAATAATCTTTGATGTGGTTTAAACAGGATGGCGTTTTATCACAGCAGAATTTTACTTTATCTCCGATAGAATTCTGATCAGGCATTAGCTCCGCCTTCTCTTCTTCTTCTTTTTTCAAGCTAAGGACCCAAGATCCACGTTTCTCTAACAGGGCTTCAGAAGAGGGGTTTGAGCAGTATGAGGCATGGCTCCAATGGGTGATCTGTTTGGTATTTTGAAAAAAAAACTTCACAGACATGTTTTCTATAGGTATGGCCCTACAATATATGTTTCAAATATAGCATGATAGGTCCACTTTAAGTTCCTTTTTTGTTACGATTTA